TGATAGGCTTACCTAGTCTTAAAGACTAGGTGCCATCACGACATCCTACGGAGGAAATTTGGGATCGTGACATTTACCGATTATTTCCATTTTCATCACCGTGAGGGCTATCATTATAAATTCAAGAATTAGAAATGATGTAATATACTCTTTCCCATAGGAGTCTCATACCAGACCAACCCACTAAAATGCGGGTCGTCATCTTCTACCCGAAAAAGTATCCGGTAAAGGTTAAACTATCAACAACTCTGAGTACCTCAGTCTTAAAGTTCCTATCAACCACTTTCCCAACAAGGCAGCCGTCATGGTAATGCGATATTGTGGTCACAACGACAGAACTGTGTCCTGGCTCTGGGGTGGGTCTTCCCTTTCTCAATTATGATATACTCGGTTAGGTTGCAATTTAGGTCTCGGTCGGGGGCGACTTCCAAATTATGGTCTCATTCTTCCCTTCCCTTGATTCACGATCCTTGCAGCTTAATTAATCCCCTATGTGTCGGGACCTGAACCGTGGTGGTGCTCTTCTATAGCTTCTTCTACATTGGCTCCGTAACTTCTGGAATTTTAAAAGGAAGCTTTTTCAAGCCCGAACAAGATCAAAAATAGCCCTCGTATTATAAGATTCTCTCACCCTATGGTCGACATTCCATTCCCCTTAGTCGCAGGTGCATCTAACAAAGAAGCTACGTGTTTATTTGAAGGTTTTGAGTCAATTCTCTATGCGTTAGAAACTCATAACAACAACAACAACAACAACAACAACAACAACAATAACCCAGTAAAATTTCATTAATGGGGTCTGAGGAGGGTAGTGTGTACGCAGACCTTACCCCTACCCCGAAGGAGTAGAGAGCATTAGAAACTCATAAAGTATAAATAATAATTTTTGAATTGGAATATAATAAAATTGTGAATTCGAATTCATAAAATTCAAATGCTAAACCAATTTTAGCTTTGAAATGTTGACCAAAAGGGCGGTTGGCAAGGCTTTCGTCTACGGGCTCAATAGAACCCCCAACTTTTGACATAGGGTATGAATTTATATGTAAAAACTTACTAAAGTCTTAACAAGTATTAGATTTGAATCCTTAATTTTAATGAATTCAATAAAATTCTTAATAGTAGAAGAAAACTGGAAACGTTTTATTAGTTAAACTATCGTGAAGGAATAGTCACCATTTAGTTCACTATAAATTGATATAGTATTAGTAGTTATTTGATATATGCATACATGAGTAATATATACACAGGCTAATATACTGCTTCAAGCGGATCAGTTCGGGGTAGAATTCAGCTGACTGAAATCTTATATTCCTCTTAGAAAACCAATTTTAATATATATAAATTATTAATTTAAAACTATAAATTTCGAGTGCACCTTAATTTGTACTGTCACTTAATAACTCTCTCTATGGTAAAAATGCATTCACATGATAATCTATCGGACCTGACGACGAGCTCGCCACCGCCACCGGCAACTCGCCACACTTATGGCACCTGGTAACCACTGGGATTTGCCGGCACGAAGGGCAAGACGAGTGCGATCCCAGCCACGTGTCAATGCATCCTACGTGGAATCCATGGCCGCACTGCGGCAGCACTTTAATTTCGTCTCCGATTGCGAATTCCGACAGGCAAATTGCACATTCTGAGAATTCCCTAGATCGTTCGAGTGTGTAACTGAACTTCGGAAGTGATTTGAGGACTTTCTTCTTCAAACCTTTGTTCGCCGGAGGAGAAGGAGCAGCTGAATTTCCGGTGGCGAACCGTCGGATCCAGGCGCAGCGAGCAACGGAAACAAGGCCGAGTACGCAAATTAGCCCGCAGACGAGGGCAGCTAGGATTACGAAGAAGTCGGAGTCGACGGTGTTGATTCCCGAGGACTGCATCGACGGCGGTGCTGGTGATGCCGGCGAATTAGTGCCGCCGGGATTAAAATGTGAAAGATCAGTACTCATGTGGAAAGTGTGAGTGGAAGCTAATGGAGGCGGTGATTTTCAATGCGGAAAGGTAGGTAGGTAGGTTTTTGGCTGATACTGGTGCATAATCAGCATTTGTTGGAGTTTTATAGAGGAATTTTCTCACTTCCTCCCATTTTACTATTTCAGTACTCATTTCGTCCTATGTGATATGCATTTTATTTTAGTCATTGCCAAATAAAATATCATACTTTTATATTAAAAATTTAAATTTAGACATTATATTTTATATCTAATTAAATAATTTATAGTAACATAAATATTTTGATTTGTTTTAGTTTACATGTTTGAGATTTTCTTCTCTTAAAGTCGGTGCATAATCAAATATTATTACATAAATTAGCGCTATGAGAGTACCACATTTTCTATAAAAAAAAAAAAAAAAAAAAAAAAAAAAAAAAGCAAAACCGAAATAAATTATTTTTGGGTCAATTTTGTTTTCATTTTTTTTTAAAATTTCGGTTCGACTACGATTTGGTTTGGAGTTAATCGGACCTTCACAAATTGGGCCTCTAAAAGAACATAATTTTCTATACATATGAAAATTATTATAATTAAAACATTGTGACTTAGTGATCTGTATTCATGTCACAACAGAACTATACGTGAGTCTCAGTTCTGCAATAGTCTTTGCCCAGCCATCTTTCTCCTTTCAAGTTTCATGTTTCAGTCACCAAAAGTCAAAAATTAAATTTACCGCATTCTTGAGTTTTTTATAATCAGATTCACACTTTTTATTTGACATACTTATTTTTTAATAAATAATCTAAAAATATACTAAATAGCAAAATATTAAATTTTAGATGAGAAAATAATAAAAAGATAAAATAAATAGCAAAATATTAAATTTTAGATGAGAAAATAATAAAAAGATAAAATAAATAGCAAAATATTAAATTTTAGATAAAAAAATAATAAAAAGATAGAATGATAAAACCTGGTTCAAGAACGGATAGCTTGATATCAACTTAAAATTTTTGCTCGAGTATGCTTGTCGTAAGACTTGAATTATGAAAATAGAATAAACAAAAAATACTCCACTATTTCTTGAATCAATACATTGAACTCTGAAGTCCGAAGCTCCACAATAATGCTTGATCTTTGACTATTGAAGAATGGAGTCATGAATTGATTAATTGAAGAACAAAGTATAGAAATATAATATAGTGGCATAGTGCTATTAGTGCACACGTTGTCTTCACTTTGCTCGACAAAGTTGTGCTCGAGAAAGTTATGGTCCACTATCTCAAATTTGTGTTCAAACTTTCTGTTTCACTTTATAATTTTTTTAAATTTTTTTATTTTATTATATATATATATATATATATAAAATTTAGGTATAACCAAAAAATGGGATCTCCATAAATATTAGGCCTAAAGCAATTACTTTACCCGCTTTATGAACTCCTGCCTTACACTGAGTAGGTGGACGTAGTAGGAAAAAGAAAAGTGAAGGTAATTTTTTTTTTCCTCATAAAGTGAAGTTGCTCCCATGCATTTTGTTAATAAGTAAATGATTTGTAACTCTTTGACCTTTTACTGTACCACACGGAACTTTATCGACTTCTTGATGAGGTCTTGTGGTATATGAATTAAATGGATTTGAGTAGGCACAAAATATAGATTCCTATTTGAGCACGTCTCCCTATGGTTAATCCGTGATGTTAGTCTCACCAGTGAGGTGGAATATATAGTTGGAATTCCTTATATTCTATTTTTGAGTTCGAAAATCTTATTAATAGGGAATGCTTTACTATTTTAGTAAACCTACTCAATACGAATCTAGACTAATCAAGCCAACAAATTCCAAATATCGAATGGTTAAACCAAAAAAATACTTAATCAAAGTCCACATACTTAATCATTCCAACCATTAGGCCACAAGAAGATAGAGACAGAAGAAGCCGTGCAATTTCTTGCCAAAGTCTCAATCTCAAACACAAGAATGAGGCGCGTACACATTTTTCTGAGGCTGGAGATATCAAGAAACTGTGCAGAAATTTCTTGCACCAAACTCAACTGCCAATGGACAAGATACTCACTAGCTAGTCAGGTCAATGTCACTTCATTCAATCTTCAGGGTAAAGAGCTACATATGCCCAAATGCCAACCAGTTGCAAGTCACTACCGGCCATATATGGAGCTATTTCAAACATTTGGGCTGCACTATCTGCTTACTTTTCTAATATAGAGATTGCCACTTTATTTATTTTGAAGATATGACATTGGTGGGAGACTAGCCCCACCAGAGAAAACCACCATCCCAAGCATGCATATTTTCAACATTGAAGTTGTTGACCTTTGTAACTTGAATTTTATGGAGGTGTGATCTGACCTCAGAAAGCCCGCGTTGTGGACCAGCGAATAAAATCTCAGAACTGAATTTTGGCACTGCCCGGTTACAGAAGAGCTTCTGAGGATTAGGTGATCTGAGCGTGGTCGGGGACAACTCCTGAGAGTTGTGCGATCCTAGCGTGACCAAAGCGCAGCCGCTAGACTTGAATCCGAATCATGTTATTTGTACATCATGCCCCTTTATAATTTATAATTTAAGAAAATGACCTTTTTAGATCTCTTATGTATAAAAGACATATCTCTTACGTGTAAAAAAAAAAAAAAAAAGAGGTAGGGTCATAAAAAAAACCAAATTTATAAAGAACCACGAAACCAATATCTCATGTGCTGGGCGGACAATATACAGTAGATGCTAGAGGGCAACATGAAAAGCAATCCACTAACTACTTCCTTTCCAGCCGAACTAGGTGTAGAGCAGGTGTGTTTTGAATGCAAAAAGTAATAATATAGCCATGTGCACACATATTACTGAATTAAGATCGCCATTATAAGGTGCATAAGCTACAATCAAATTAAAAACCTTCTGCATAAAACATTTTCTGTGATCTAAGCACCTTGCTGCAGGTAAAAATTTCCCCGTACCGTATTTTATTAACTGAAAGAGAAATTTGCAGTCAATTTGGATTAAAAGCAGCTTAGGTCTTAATCTTTCACAACAGATTATTGGAATCAATAAAGGGATCGGAATGCAAGATGATCAAATAATGTGTCATCAATAATCTTATCTGTTGTTCTAATAAATAATAATATATTAGCTTATACATGATCACAATTATAAGCATGAAATTACGAAAAGTAAGGGTATATACAATCTCGACGCTAATATACATCCTTGTTTTTAGTTTTCCATATAGACCAAATACAGATATCTGAAACAATCAATGGTTCCTTGATCCAGGTTACAAGCAGCCAAAGTACAGAGAAAGAGCTGTCTACAGCATTTTTGCAAATCCATTGAAGTTCTTCTTGATTCATTGAAACATCATCTGAAATATAAAAAATGTTTGTATTCTTATAAACTGTGCTTAATGTGATAAGAAAAGAAGGAATTCTGAAGGGATTTAGGATATACAAATGGCGGTAAAGCGAGACAATATTTATTCCTGGTGCTGCATAAATAGCAAATGAGATGTCTTTTACACTATCAGGTCATTTCAAAAATAACTACATGTAACTGTCCATAATAAGTGGAGCTACCTGAAAAATAATGTAAGCAACATGTTGTACTAAGTTAAATTATACTCATCTTGTATATATGTCAATAGATATAAGTTAAAACCATATCTCTTTTGACCTTTTGCGTACTTTGTCTCCTCTAATTTCTTACCAACCAAACAATCTGTCAACACCAATTAGAGTACTGAAAAGGTTATCCTTAAAAGGTAGTTCACTTATCTCTTCTGAACAAACAAAATGGTGAAACAGAGAAATGGTGAAAAATTTATAAGGTAACTTCCAAATCTTCCCGAAGTAGATAAAAAGAAAGAAAGGTGAATGTAGACTGAGAAGCTTTAAAAGTATTCCTAAATTATCTCCATCAATCTGCCTTTGATAAATTAAAGAATTACTACAATGAAGAAATGGTTTTAAAAAATATAAAGTAATTTCCAATTGGAAGAATTTTCGTACGGTAACAGGTTTTAACTTTATATTTATGTGCAACTTCTTTTCTAGTATTCGCCATTATCAGAAAAAGAACATGTGGTCAAGATGTCTTCTTACCTCATAATCAGAAGCTGAATTGACTGATATCGTCTGTTGTAACGTCCAAACAAAAAATGCACCTCCATTTTCATTATGTTGTGAATCTAGCAGTTTGATCAGAAAAAAACTTAAAATGTAACAGAGATGTTTTCAAAACTTCGCTTTCTTGTACTGCCGTTAAACTCTTCTTCTGATGGAGACGTTTGCTTGCCAGAGTGTGAACCACCTCTATGTGGACCTGAGTTTTGTGCTTGAGCGACAAGATAGTCAAGGGCTGTAACAATATCGCTGATCATGGGGCGAAAATTGGCTTGTTCCTGAAGACACATTGCGGTAATAGCAACTGCATGGTGCAAACAGCGAGCAGAGAACTGACCATGCAACGACGGTTCAACCATATGAACATACTTCCTCCGGTCCTTGAGGAAAGGACTAGACTGCAACCAAGTGAAGAGCTTCTTAGCTAAAAAATCCTAGACATTGTACATAAACAAAAAAAGAACGTTTCGAATTTGGGTGGGAAGTCGGGTTCAGGATTTATGTTACATTACTCCATCTTTGTTTTGAATAAAAAACTATTAACATGATATAATTTTTCAAGAAGGATCTGGAGCAAGCTTGGCAAGACTGGGATAAAAGATGCAATAAATCTTGAAAGTTATAAACTAAGTCTGAATGTAGTAAGATGTAGAGTATGCAATAAATCTTGAAAGTTATAAACTAAGTCTGAATTTGGTAAGATGCAGAGTTTAATCAACATACTAGTGTTCCATTTGAAATAATGGCCAAATGTTGCAAGAATATGAATAGTAATATTTTCTACTTAGAATGTATTCTTATAGAATTGGTTCAAAACTCCTAGGAGACTTCAGAAAAGTAACAACACACGCATGATGTGAAGTACATAATTCTTTAAATCCAAATACATTTAATAAGCAATGAAATAACGTTAAAGGTTATCTGTTGGACAATAGTGGAATCGATCAGAAATTGGGAAGAACTGAGCTGGTCCTAAAAAGAAACCTTAGTATTCAGACTTAGATATATAACTCACCCAAACAACAAGGTTCTGTTCTCCAGGTTTCTTAGAGGTGTCATAAGCCTTTCGCCCCGTTATTAGCTCCAATAGAACAACACCCATGCTATAGATGTCAGATTTCAAAGTCAACTTTCCAGTCATGGCATACTCAGGGGCACAATATCCATAGGTTCCCATCACTCTTGTTGAAACGTGAGTGTTGTCACCTACAGGTCCGAGCTTTGCAAGTCCAAAATCTGATAGCTTTGGATTGAATTCATTGTCCAATAATATATTTGATGTTTTCAAGTCACGGTAAATGACGGGCGGATTTGCTTTGTGTAGATACTCAAGTCCATGAGCTGCGCCTGCAGCAATCTTTAGTCTTGTTCTCCAACTCAGTGGCTCCGTCCCCGGTTCTAAATCTTTGAACATCAACAATAACAGACAGTTAGGATACATCCCCCAAAAAAGGACCACTACAGTAATAACGCGAAAACTAAAGGAGCAGTTACGAGGATATCAAACAATTATCATATTAATAGAGGGCCTAGAGGCACACTAGTGAGACATGAGCTTAACTTGTCCAGGCAATTACTAGAGCCAAGAAAGGCAACTCAAAAGTTAGAGAAGAGGTTCTTGAATTAACATCTCATATGCTATGAAAACAAAAGCTATGATCACTGAGAATTTAGCCACCATAATATTAGGACAAAGCCATAACTTATTAGTGAGCTGGACAAAAGGGCAACCCGGTGCACTAAACTCCCGCTATGCGTGGGGTCCGGGGAAGGGCCGGACCAGAAGAATCTATTGTACGCAGCCTTATCCTGCATTTCTGCAAGAGGCTGTTTCCATGGCTTGAACCCGTGACCTCCTGGTCACATGTGAGCTGGACAAATTCTGTTTTTAATACCAGAATCATACATTACTGTCGAGAAAGCTTCCAAATTCTGTTGGAAGACGAATAACTTGTCTAGTAAAGCTTAGGCAACAAAACTCAAAATCGATTATACAAGCAAGAAAATTTCTAGAGATATTATAGGTGGTGGTTGGCAGAATCAAAATTACCAAAAAGATGATTCTCCAAGCTACCCATTGGCATGAACTCGTAAACCAAAAGCCTCTGATCTCCATGAGTGCAGTATCCAATCAGGTTAACAAGATTTTTATGATGTAGTAAACTCAACATCAGGACCTCCACAATAAATTCTTGGTTCCCTTGAAGGCCTTCAAGATTAAGTTGTTTGATTGCGACAATCTGTTCATATGACCAAAGCACAAGGAAACACAATATATCATCAACAACCAGGTGTAGAGCTACAGCGAGCGAAGAGTGGTCATGTAAATACCCTTCGCCAGAAAATTATACTATTGTATATATATAGGTCAAATATTACTCTTTATACATATACATAAAACCTGGAACACCCTAAGCAAAATTCCTAGCTTCGCCGTTGCTACAACTGCCAGCCACTCTAAAAATTTTCTCTTTTAATAGTGAAGATAGTTAAAGATAAGTTGTTTTCCAACATTGACCATGTAAAAACCATCTTTCTTTCCCGTCTTCTATCAGTTACAAAGACTAATACAAAGTAAATTAACCATAGGTGCATAGTAAGTTAGAAAACTTAAATGAGAATTGAACCAGCAAAATTTGGAAAGGAGAAAACTTGCCAAGCCAGAATCAAGGCGGCCTTTGTAGACACATCCAAAACCACCTTCTCCGATAAGATTAGTTTCCCTAAAATTCTGAGTTGCTGTGGTAAGCTCCTTGAATGTGAAACTGCGAGCGACATCGCTGCTCTGGTTGTTACTTTCCCTGCTTTTACCTTTCGAAGAACCTTCCTTTCTCCCACTTCCTATGCATGAATAGTATCCAATGTCCCACAAAAATGGGGAAAAAAATTGAAACATATTTGATTAAATTCTGCCTCTCCCAAATGTAATTAGAATCTCAGACAATCCTAATTTAATGATATCCTTACCACTTCCAGAATCACTAGATTCCCCCCTAGCGTGCACTGCAAACTCAAAATTTGCAGATTGTAGCAAGAACATAAGCACATTGTATAACATCTAAGATATCATAATTAAAGAATTGATAATAATAGACATATTGTATCAGATATTGGATTCTGAGGCTATGTTGCTCGGATCCTTCAAAAGTGCCTATGTGTCGGATTCCTTCAAAAGTTATTCCATTTTAGATGATCCGACACAATATTTTTGGAGGATGCCAACAACATAGTTACCATGCTGTATACAAAATATAACAGCAAAAGGACAGATAGAATATGTAAACCTGCAGAACTGTTGGATCGTTGGACCATGTCTTCATCATATTCTCTAACATTCTTAGGACGAGGGCTCATGCAAGAAAAGCAACTCATTTTTTTTGTCTTTGATTTGGCTGATTATTTCCCAAACAAATGCAGAACTTTCAGAAATCAGAAAAGCCCACCTCAAATTTCAGCTAGAATTATTTGTTGATTACATAATTGCAACAATTACAAGAACATAGCACCATAATGAATATATACAAGAAAGAGAAAAGAAAAGAGGAGGAATCAGAAAAACAAATGCAAATGGAGCTGATGAGGAAAGAGAGATGGTTTATTCCCTCTCCCTTTGGAAAATGAGTAGCCCTGACTCTATGACGAGAAAATGGTGAAAATTTAGAAAAAATAGTAAAGCTTTCACATTCATAGATATGCAAACACAGTAAAACAACCTAACAAAAAATTAAAGGACAAATGTAATGAAGACAAGTATTGTTATTAATAATATTAAAAGTCTCCAAAAATTATACAACGTGAGGGGAATATTGAACCAAAAATAGGTCCTAAATTTTTGGTCTGCTATGACCATATCAACAAATCAAGAAAATAACACGTTGGATGTCCCAAAATTTCTGAATTTAGCAAAATTCTTCGAGCTCCTCGTTTAGCGCCAGCTTTAGCGGTAGCTCTTCTTTCACCACCACCCTCCCAAAGTAATTATTATTATGAGGTCATTATATCTTGTGGCCAATGTAATGTATATATTTTTTGGGTGACGGATAGTGATAAAAATAATTTTACACTAACGATGTATAGAGTATTTTGCGGTGTTTCCGTTGACAAGGAGTCTCTGAGAACAGTTACTTAGGACTACCGTTCTGTTGGAAGTAGATTCTGAGTAACATTATGTCATAGGAGTACCTGTGTGGTCAACGGACCAAGGACCGATGTAACGTTTTCACTATATACGTGAGTGTGTGTACTAAATTTTTTCTATATTTTGTTTTTTATCAATCATCAACATGAACGTGTTGTTATCCTGTCGTGATCGCAAGCACGAGACTATATTTAATAGTTTCACCTACTCAACTAGCAGTACAGTTTTCCAAAAAAAGATATCCAAAATTCTAAAGCAACAGTATTAAATCTCAAGAATGGACCACAAGACCTTTGTTCCATTGGATTTCTAAAAGGGTCTATACACAAAAAGCTGGATGGATGCAATTAATATATTTTTTTTCTAATCTATATATACATGTTATATATGTACATACATACATACATACATACATATATATATATATATATATATATATATATATATATTTTCTCCGATTCACTTTAATTAATTTTTTGCCTATTTTCACACATAATAAGTAATTCACATTTTAGCATTAATTAGCAATAAAATTGTTCATATTAACCTTTATTTGTTTATTAGAAATATAACAAGTACTCATAGGCTCTTTACTCCAAGGACAACTTTGAAAAAAATGAAGTTAACTGAAAAAATTAATTAAAGCAGACTGGAACATACATACACATACATACATATTTAAATGATTAAATTGACGACTATTTAGGTTAATTCTTGAAATGGAAAATAAAAAGACTTTTTGGTCCGTTAAATGGACAAGGCTGTGGCCTGGAAGAACCCAGCAGCCCAGTAGACTTGACTGTTCAGACAATGTCAAGAGGTCCACTAATTACGATCTTCAATAGGCAAGGCCCATTTTCTGTCCAAGTTTTGGTAGAGGCAGGAGCTAATGGAAACCCACATTGGCTCTCCTGCAATGTGATCCTTTATCTCCAGGAAATTACATCAAATGATCTTGAAAACGAATGGTCTTGATTTTTATCCTTGTTTGCCCCATTGACAAACGTTTAAGGTCAAAAATTAAAAGTGTTACCCATAAGTCAAGCGAGGGGCAACACTTATTAAACTTAAAATTCTGTCCATGGGACAAGCAAGGTCAAAAAATTAAGATCGCCCACTTCTAAGACCATTCTTGCAAATCACCCCCTATCTCCAAATCTTGTTTTACATGCAAAGAAGAAATATTTAGCCTTCTTGAGATACTTTATGATTGTGGCTTAGCGGTCATGAGGTGGAATGAAAGCTATGCGAGACCAATGTTCAAATTAAATCCCACAAGAGACAAATTAAAAATGCTTAGTGGTTCCTAATGGAAGCTAGGGAGCAGATACTCATGAGTGAAATAGTTGAGATTAGTATAAACTGATTCAAACATTACCATTATATTTTTTTTTTATAGATATTTAGCCTCTTGAGTTATTGCTGGTTATGTCAAAGAACAATAAGTGCTGAATTGACTCGACGCTTAAAGTAAGATATATTTGTAATTGAATTAGTTAGGCTCAACATAGTTCACACAAACCCGAATTTGAGAAAGAAAAATGGGGTATGTGAAGTGTTGGGGGAGATGACGTATGCCATTTGACAAAAACTAAATTCTAAATTCATGTACGGTTTGCTTCATACATATGTAATAATATTCTAGCATTATGCTAACACATATTTCAAAATTAATTTAGGTATGAACTTTTCAAAAAAGAAACTGGGCTCTAAATTATCATTTCTAGTTAATGGTAAAGTACTATAATAGAAAAAGAACAAATCTAATTATGGTCTTAAACTTCCTAGACCAAAAAGATCCAAATAGTTATTAAGTAAGCTTTAATTTAAGGAAATTTTACCTCATATAGCAAAGGTATACACCCTATTTATTATAAACCAAAATTATTTTAAAATATTAGTTTCTATAGTTACCTTTTATATTTTATAGCAAAATAAGTATTTATGGTATATACTACCATTAAGGCATGAAATAAGACATTAAATACGCTATTTTTATTTTTCCTCTCTCTTCTTTCAATTAACATACGATTCTCTATCAGAATTTTCTTATTTCTCTCTTTCTTCTATCTCTCTTCGAGCAAAATAGGCCGAATCATAGATACACGAAAGAGAAACAAATCATGACAGAAAGCCTAAAAATCTCAAAATCAGAAACATAAAAGTAAACCTATAATCAAAAAAGGAAGCGGAGATACCTTGGGCGACGGTGAGATTGAAGAGAAAGAGGGATTCTTAGCGTAGTAAGAGAGAAAGAGGAAGAAATGGTCGAATTGGAAGCGTTATAAATTGCAATGGAAGGGGTAATGAAGCGATACAAGGAGTCTTGGCCGGAAAATACCATCTCGATAAACTTTCTTCTTTTCTTTGCTATTTAGTCACATACAATGATACAATTACATTGTATTTTATACAAATTCACTCAAACACATTGTATTTTTGTATAAATATATTATTTTAGCATGTGTTTACGTATTTCGAAGGTGTGTATTTTTTTAACACAACTGAATACACTTGTACAGTATGCATGAATATATGATATAAATATTGAAATACACTAAATATAAACATTAAAATAGAACAAAACATAAACAGTGAATACATTTAATTTTAAAATATAGCGAAATACATTAAAATAAAATACTGAATACAAATAGAAATACAGTGAATACAACCAATGAAATATACTGAATATAACAGTAACATCATGTATTAGGAATAACTAAAATACTGTTAATACAAATATATTTGGATACACTGAATATAAAATAGCGAATACAGTAAACACAAACGTTGAATCTAATGAATGCAACAGTAAAAACAAATATTGAAACACACTAAATACAAAAATTATATACAACTGAAAAATCATTCTAATTAGTTGAGTTGATAAAGAGGCATGTTAGAATTGATTTTGTTGAGTTATATTAGGAGTGTATCATGCTAATTGATATTATTTCCGTCATTAGACAGCTGAATATACATATTTTTAAGAAGATTGTCGTTACTGTATTCATGAATACATGGCGCGAATACACGTGAATATATGTGCGTACAGCTGGACTGCCTTGATTTTAGGCGCTTTTTACTGTTGTATTCATGAATACAACATCACGAATGCATGTGAATACATGCGCGTTCAGCTGGACTGCCATGATTTTAGGCTCTTTTTGTTACTATATTCATGAATACATGGCGCGAATATACATGCGCGTACAACTGGACTGCCCTGATTTTTAGGCGTTATTTGCTGTTGTATTCATAAATACAACAACACAAATCAACGAATATATTACCGTAATAACTGAATAGTAGCTATTGAAAGTAATTATATATATGATAGCTATAGAAAATTAATAACCACCGAACAATAGTGATTTCTGAAAAGACTTCAACAATAATTAACATGCTCGAGTCCCTATACAACTGTGCATTTCTTAGACCTTAGGTTTCGGTCAAAAGGTTATGATCAGGTTAAACTTCAAACCTAATGCAAGCTTGATTTTATATGCAATCTCTTATCGTAAAAGGGTGGATGAAGATAAAGGTTAATTAATGGACTCATTTCTGAAAAGTCAAGACCAATAAAAACTTGAGAAATCAATCTGTTTATCCGAAAAATCGGATAACGTTAAATTTAGATATGGTTCTAAGGGTATGCAAAATTTTTTGATATAAAATGACAATACATGTATTTTTGCTGTGAAAATAGAAAATGATGGAAGGGAAGACTGAAAAATATTAGAAGAACAAGTACAATGAAATCTTGATGCCCTTCCTATTGCAGTCTATCTCCCCTTTTATAGTAGAGGGTCACTACTTTATTTGTATCAACATAAAATAATACATATAGTGGAGAACCCATGATGGTTTGTCCCTCCCTTAATTCTTGCCAAGATTCTCTCCCTTAGTGTGGTTGTAACAGCTCTTGTCTTGCGAGCTTGGCACTGACTCGAGCTTGGTGCTAGACCGAATCCCCAGTCTTAGTTCGAGCTCGATTCTACCTTGGAGCATCGATATTCGGGTCCTGTATCGGTCGTCGTTATCCCGTAGTCCGATCCAGACGCGGGTTCGATAATGATATCGAGTTTTGCGGTTGATTGGTCTTATGGCTCGAAGCTCGACGTCTCTACTTTGGAATTCGTCCGAGCTCGCCATGTGGATACCCTTCGATTGAAATGTTATTGTCTTGACCGGTCTTTATGACTGAGAATCGGTTTTGACCGTACACAGATAGTCCCCTCGTTTCTCGAAAAGTATGTGGCGAGGAACGATATGATTTCCCTGCGGCTCGATCAAATTTATGCCGACGTTTCTATCGAATCCGATCTCGACGTATATGATGGCTGTCCCATCGGCTCGGTTTTACCGAGGCATTTAATGTGTGTCAGACGGTAGTCGACCACCGCTGATACCGAACCGTCAGGCTTTAGTCTATAAATAATCTTTCCACACAATTTTTACCATTTTTGCACCTTCTCTTCCTCCAGACTTTCCTATTTATCCTCTCTACTTTGCTGCTACGGGGCCGTTCATACCAGAATTTTGGTGTTGTCTATTTCTTCCCTTGCACTCTTTCC